TGATGCCTAATGCTGATTCAAGCGGTTCCGAAGGTACATCGGCCCAGTATAACTTAAATATACGTCGTCAAAGTGTATGAAATATTAGCCATTTTATGGGGGATATGAAAATAAAATAATATTTATAAACTTATTTGGCGGTTGGCATTTCGCACTCATTAATTATCAACACCATTTCCTATCCTTACTATCATTTTGCTCGGGATTTTAGCAGTATTAGATTAAACCGAGCTTTTTTTTATCGAATTAAATGAGGCACAGAGGACTTGCATGATTTATTCAGATGGTGGTAGTTTTGCTTGGTATAAGGGCTTTCTAAACTTGATAATGCATAGAATAGTGCATTTTTCTGATTTAAGTACAAAGTTCACAAGTCATAGATACGAAGAGAAACTGGGTTTAGATAAATCTTCGGAGATAATCAAAGGTATGAAGACTAAGATGGTTTGGCCTTTTGTGTGGTAGCAGTCTCCTTTCGTTGTATAGAAGTTGTTCGACCTGGTTTTCGCAACTTGGTTATATTTGTAGGAAGACTTAGAGGGACGCACCTTTTCCGTAGTTCATTGTATGCATGATCGTTTCCAAAGTATGACCATGAACGTGGTACATTCCCAGACGTTTCGCCGGCACCGTCAGTGAGTATTGCCATTCGTAGAACCATAGTACAGCTCGTCAAAGAGACAAATGAAGCCCATCCTTTGACCAAACATGTGCTAAACAATTATGGTATCTACCATTCTGACCTGGGCTATTCACATTTCCTATATCCTCCTATTACGCCTTCACTGTTACACTTTTACCGTGCTTATTTCCATGTAGCGTGGTGTGCTCCTTCGAGCGGCATTCATGAAAACCCTTCAGACTCCATGCTGTCGTTCTCAACCCCTTCACTCTTGTGGTGGGAATGTTGATTAGAGTCTGCCATATTATTGCGTAATCCTCCTTCCTTGGGTCCTATCAGAATCTTCCTCCTGCCCCGTAGAATCCTTTTGCTATCTCCCTGGTACACGTATTTCACTTGACCCCTTCCTCCCATATGTGCTACTCGAGGCGTTATTCGCCCTCCCGTGCGTCTGGCTGGCTAATTTGAGGCTAAAGCCTCTGAATAAGTCTCATGGTCATACCTTTGCTAAATGGACGGCGTTTCTGGTACAACAGACCTACTGTCTGCCAACTAGATCCATTCTCCGCCGCGTATATCCTCTCTCTATATCCATGACTTGCTATGCCTTAGTCTCTTCTTTTTCGTATTAAAGTGCATGAATAGGAGATTCGTTGATCGACTCCACCACATGAGGACGAATGAATCTCGTACTGCAGCCGTTTCGCTTTTATACGATGTTCATGTTGACACAGTCCACGAGATTTCCTCTAGTTTCGGGTGAAAACGTGCTGAGCTTTCGTCCATCATATGATGGACATTATCAGAGCTGGGTTTAATCCTTGTAAGAGTCTCACGTTAACACTAGGCCAGGAACACTATCCAGCTTTATCTTACCTCTTATATAGACTCAATTAAGCCAAAAGAAAATTAAAAACCTAGACAGATCGATGTAGAGCGGCTTGGTTTGCTGCCGGAGTTCTTTTGACAAGATACTTGCTTTGAGGCCACTCTGGAACTCGACCAAGCAGGGAAAACGGGGCTACTCCACTTGCTTATGGAATTACGCAGTCTCGGTCAAGGTTCTCTTTTGGGTCATTAGGTCTTGATGATCAGAGTCTCACATTAGCCTTTTGACAACTCTGATTTATGATAGGTATTGCGTATAAACGCTAACACGCACACAGTCGAACAAAAGTAGCAGGACCAGTATGAAAAATAATTAGCCAAACCACTATATATCAATCTATCTAGGTTTTTAATTTTCTTTTGGCTAAATTGAGTCTATATAAGAGGTAAGATAAAGCTGAATAGTGTTCTTGTCCTCGTGTTAACGTGAGACTCTTACAAGAATGACATCCAGCTCTGATGATGTTCATCGAATGATGGACGAAAGCTCAGCCCGTTTTCACCCGAAGCGAAGGAGGAAATCTCATGGACCGCGTCAACATGAGTATCGTATAAAAGCCAAATGGCTGCAGTACAGCGAGATTCATCCGTCCTCATCTGGTGAGATCGACCAACGAATCTCTTCTTCATGCACCTTCATGCGAAATGAAAGTACCCTCTTCCAAAAATCATATTGCGGTCGATCCGTAATTAATTTTAAATGTAAACTCAAACTTAATAGGGCACTGTCTTTTTTATATAAGATGATTCTTCTCACTTCAATTTTCATCTATGCTTTCATTCCGAACTTTGATATCAACTTTTGACTCTTTTTGTAGAAATACTTTTTAAGACCTAGCTCGGCCTACGTTTTTATCCACGGTTAAAATTGATGCTTTCTATTCAATTGCCTTATAATATCACAGCAACTCTGAGGCATAGTTCGCGTTGTGTCTGGACCCACTTTGTCATTTAATTAGCTTCAATTCCTAATTCGTGAACTTAGCCATCTCGGATCATCCTTTTATTGAGGTGATAAACTCCTGCTTACTAAGTAGCCTTTCGAGACTCATAATTCCCTCTAAAACAGTCTCCAAGTCAGATTTATTTTTAGATTAGGGGCTAACAAGCTCAGTTTAAATCCCCCCTTAATATTATTGACCGTCAACTATTTCTTATCAGAGAAAGCGTTTACTATCGTAGTGATAGATGCTTTATAAGCTTTGCTGAATATAAGCTTACAAATGATAAAATTGCATACTTATTACTTTATAGATTGCAGTTGTGCTTGGTTCTTGTACGGCTGGAGGAGCTTACGTTCCCGCAATGGCTGATGAGTCCATCATAGTTGACAAACAGGGAACTATTTTTTTAGGAGGTCCTCCTCTTGTAAAGGCAGCAACTGGCGAGTCTGTGACCGCAGAAGATCTTGGAGGGGCTGATTTGCACTGCAGGTTGGTTTTTCCTTTAAATGTGCAAGTAGTTTTCTTATTTCGAATCATAATGTTGTGCACCCTGCCCTCCCGTCGGTATGCCAGAAGTTTATATTTTTAGCTTTAACTAAACTGACTGAATTCGCTTTATTGTCCAATGGTATAACCATCTAGGCTAATTTTACCTCAAGTATTGTTATACACAAATTATATACTACGATTTCTGTACTTCCGATTTCATTTCTATATTTCGTCAGCTAACCTAGTTTTTGAAGCGAAATGCTTCCAACTGCATTTGAAATTACCTTCTTTGAATCTTCAATCTTATGGACCCAGGACTTTACTTCTTTAGATTGATCAAGTTTACTTTCTAAATCAGCTCATGATATAGTATTTACTATTAAATTACAATTATTTCTTTCCTGTCCTCAAGCAATCACTTCTTACTGCCCGATGGTGCGAAGAATAGCCTCTTATTTGTCTTCATCTCTGCATATGTATTTATTCAAGGGATTAGCCTCCATGATGGTCTGTTCTAGCATTAAGTACGAGTGATCGTAATGGTGAATAGCAATTTTAACATCTACAGAGGCAAATCGTCTTTGTACACTCATGCTCACTTATCGCTTAAGTCAGTGGTTCCCAAACTTTTCCTAGTCGCCTCGCCCTTTTTAAATTAAAATTTTTCTATGGCGCCCTAGCCTAGGTATGACTATTCGTAAGTAAGAGATAAAAATAAATAAAACTCTTGTATCTTCATTATTTTTTTACTTTATTAACATTAAATTCACCTTTAATAATCAATGTGATGGATGAGTCTGTAAATCACTGAACATTTTCTCAAATCGTGGAATTAAACTGGACACGGCGAGCCTCATTTCCTTTTCCACGCTGATTTTCGCTCTATACTTGCTTTTTATTACAGCGACCGCCGAAAACCCAGCTTCGCACAAATACGACTTCAAAAATGGAATTAGAATCCGCTGAGTCTTATCACTTAGACGGGGATATCCATCTTTTGTTGAAATCCAAAATTGCTTTGAAACTGTTATCGCAAGATAACTCGATAAGATTCTCTGCTTCTGCAGAAGTAAATTCAGACGGAACACTAGTGTTAAATGGATCTTGAATCCATGCAAACTTCTTAATTTTCATTTTGAAAATATTTCACAAATCAGTTAATTAGCTGTGATTAGTGCTCCTCAAACCTGCTTTTTATATCTCGAGAAAGATCATGTTCATTTGTTGTTGACGTAAAACCAAACTCAAAATAACTGTCATCATATTTACTATATTTTCGTTTCTTCAAACTTTCTTTATCTGCACTATTACGTTTATAACTGTTCAAGCAAGAAGTAATATAACACTAACTAAATTACAATATGAACTCATTTATTAATTTATGTCACTGTTTATTTATATATATGAAGCGCTGAGTTTAACTTTACTAGACTCAAATTATAACTCGACTGAATCGAGCCGGCAATGCTTGCTTATATACTTTCCGCAAGATCTTCCAGATCATTCCAAATCTGTCACGAAGGTTCTACGCGCCTCGACGTGACTAGTGCAATCATATGGCGCGATCGAGAAGACGCAGTGTTTTCTCCTACGTTTTCGTTTAGTTGGGCCAAATGTCTGGCTTAAATTAATTATGAAACTTTTACAATATTTCGCGGTGCACAGTTTGCGAATCACTTGCTTAAGTTATTCATTGTTACTACTGACCTCAAATAGCACCGAGTCCTCATTCTCATGACAACATGGCTTACCTAAAGTCATGGCACTGCTTTCCGCCTTTTCCTCCTTTAAGTATGCTATAAGTTTATATTTATAATTTTGACTCCGAATTAGTTTTATATTCCACGGATATGACCAAACCACTACTTTTCATACTATCCTCCACGTTTTGACCTATCGACGAAGATATCTTTCCTTAGGGTATTTTTTAGACCAAAAATATATGTATTTATTCATCCAACCCTTGACCTATATATTCACGAAAGATAAGTAAGGCTGGGATTTCTTTTATATTCGTATAAGAGTAGGGTTTTGAGACTACCAGTTAATCAGTGTGATGAGATGTATG